AGATAGATAGATAGATAGATAGATAGATAGATAGATAGATAGATAGATAGATAGATAGATAGATAGATAGATAGATAGATAGATTAGATAGATAGATAGATAGATAGATAGAATCTTTATACACGGATAGATGGATGGAAATTACTTTGTTACAGCAGGATAATGAATAAAAATAGTACAACTTACAGTAAATAAACAGCAGTGCCACAGGTGCATAGTGAGGGCATTATACATCAAAATTTACATATACAACAATGATTTCAAAAAAGCGGAAAAGGTAAAAGAAAAATTACGTTAGTAAAAAGCGGAAAGGTAAGACTCATTTTGTGCAAGCGGGCAAATTAATAAATAATTTATACATTATACATCTAAGAAAAACAGCTAAACATATTACCTACTCATTGTGTCGTTTTAACCAATCGTAATTTATCACTACCACAACACGATTGGTTAAAATTAATCAACATCTTCACACTCTCACAAGCTCGCCTGCGTCTATTAGCGTTGTGTCCTCCAGTCCAGTGGCGTCGCATAATTTAGTCATGTACCTAAATCTAAACCAAAGAAGAAGAACTGATGGCAGGCGCCAGCGCAGAAGAAGAATGGTGCCGCTAGTAGTGGCTATAAATGGGCTACAGATATAAACAACCCAAGTTTCTGATCAATTTGGCTGTTCTCGTAAGTAACTCAGAGCCATACCTGTTTGTTTTAAGTCGAACTGCCCCAGAAGGAAGATTTCACCCTCTCTACCAGAGTCACAGCCACACAAACGGAGCATCTTCATCCTATCACTGAGTTCTGTGTTGTTTCTTCGCCCACCGGCGTCGTTTTAAGAAGCGGCCACGATGCCGCTGGGTTTGAAACCATGTTGCGCCGTTTGCAAGACTAATTCTTCTTCGATGTGGAAGAAAGGAAACCAGGGAGAGATCCTATGTAACAGCTGCACGGGAAAGAGCGCCAGCGGCGGGGCGTCAGGACCCTCCCTGTCCTCCATCACTCAGCCCAGCAATGGCGGAGGGAAACAGGTCAGTGAAACCCAGTGTTTCTAGATTAGAGCCAGGCCTGTTTGTGATGGTGTAAAGCCTCACGAGTTTGTCTTCGGGCTCTTTTTTTTAGACTGGTGGGGCTGTGTGCAGACATTGCAGCTGCATCATTCACAGATAATCCTACAGGGAAAATATAATAGCGCTCCCGGAGCCCACGCTGAGCTGAATTAGGAAGGTTTTCCATTTCAGTTTAAATACTGACGATCACTGTGTTTAGTTTTTTTGTTTTTTGAAGTTATTAGAAGAGCACAGGTCTCATTTCAAGACTGTAGTCTTCACTGTTCATGTGTAAAACAGTTTAACAGAAACAAGCCGGTGTGACTCCAGGAGTTTTTACATGTGGTGTCGCAGATTTGATCATAATAACTGCCTGAGAAAGCACTGGGCACAACTTTCAGGCTCTTGTGCAGCAGCCTGTGCGAAATACAGATGGCAGAACATAAAAAAAAATGATGCTTCAAATGAAAGTCATTTGTGTTGTACAAAGTGAAAGTATTTAAATCTTTAAATGAGAAACATCTCAACAAACCCCCAAGATCATTTAAACCCTTATTTTTAATTAAAATTGGTAATATAGCAGTCTGTTGTCAAGTGAGATCAAACTTGAAGGGTAAACCTATATGCCTTAAACATTACATAGCTTCACATTTTACTGAGATATTTTTCACATTAAGTGATTAATCAGTTAACAAACAAACTGATAGTTGTTAGTACTGGTCTTAGTATTGTCTCATTGTTTATTTTTCATCATCTTCTTCAACTGACAAGCTGCAGTCAATTGTCCAATCCCTTCTTGTGTTTGTCTATAGTCCAAGCAGGAGATCCACAGGAGGTCTGCACGTCTGAGAAGCACCAAGTACAAAGCTCCTGCATCAGAGAAAAAAGTCTCAACCAAAGGAAAAGGAAGACGACACATATTTAAACTCAAAAATGTAAGTTTGATAATGTAAATTTGATTTTTCTTCTTTCTTGTTGAGTTCATGCATTTGACCCTTGTGTGTGCCAACCTTTTAGCCAATCAAAGCACCAGAATCTGTAGCGACTATCATCACGTCAGAATCCATATTTTATAAGGTACGGTGTTTATTGTTGCAAAGCATGAGAAACAATACTTTCACTTGAAACTGGTCTGATCTTTTTAAAGCATTAATTATATCAATTAACCTTAATCCTTTATCATTGTCAATATATCACAGGGTGTATTCTACCAGATAGGAGACGTGATTAAGGTAACAGATGAAGAAGATGGGAAGCCTTACTATGCTCAGATTCGAGGCTTTGTACAGGATCAGTACTGTGAAAAAAGTGCAGCACTGACGTGGCTCATCCCCACTCAAGCCAGCCCTAAGGACCAGTTCGATCCTGGCACCTATATTGTTGGTGAGCAGTTATTCTGGATCATGCAGTGCTCTAGTGGAATTTGTTCATTTAAGCTTTAAAAACCAAACAAAAATGTTTTGCAATAGGTCCAGAGGAGGATCTGCCCAGAAAGATGGAGTATTTGGAGTTTGTGTGCCACGCCCCCTCTGAGTACTTCAAGTCTCGGAGCACCCCGTTCCCTACTATCCCAATACGACCAGAAAAAGGCTATATTTGGACCCACATAGGACCCACACCGGCCCACACTGTCAAAGAGTCTGTCAGTGCCAGCAGTTAGTGGGACTGTGATTAAAGACATGGACTCCGTTCTTAAAGAAATAAATGTACATTCACATGATGCTAGTGCAGGGTCAGCAGTCGCCAGCACATCAGCAGAGCATCTGCAGAGGTAGATGTTGCAGTCAGTGGAGGTTTAAATGTAAATAAGGTTTAAATGTAATAAATACTGATATCTGGGAGGACTGTGTCATCTGGGAGGACGCAGGACGGTCTGAAATGTGACATTTGTTTTTAGTGACGCCTAGCAACAGGAGCGACGGGGTCTTTCAATGACTAGTAACAGGAAGAAGCGTCACAAATGAGACACCCCCCCGAATTACTTCAAACTTGGCACTGCCTCCAGTCCATACACCCGCCAAGTTTGAAGGAGAACAGACGACCAATGCATACAGAGATTCCTTCATTTATTAAGGAGATAATGATTTTGGGGTTTTCTGATCATTACTTCACATTTGAAGGCGAGTTGTAAGTTGATGGTAATGATGTGTCTAATTGCTTTGTGTTATTCACAAGCTGTGATGCTGAAACATATGGAAGCTTGTTTACACCACTTTTTTTTTTTTTTTTTTTCCAGTGGTAGAAACAAGTTTCCATAAAAATGTTACTTTTGTATTTGATAATAAACAAAAAGCTCTTTTCCATCACTACTGTTGCCTGTGATTTTTCTTTTGTTCCTTTTTTTTTTTTAAACTGATATAAATAAATGTTTAAAAAAAAAAACAAACAAACAGAGATCTGATTGGTTTTTGTTCCAGCATCCTGATTGAACAAATGTCACGTTTGATTTATGTCAAAATGTTAGACTGGTGGTGTCTAAAGACTGGAATGAAGCCACTTGTGTCAGTTAAGCTCTTGACCGTGAACGTCTCATTGTAAAGTCTTTAAGTCGGTGGTTTGTGTCCGTTTCTCAGTCGGATGCTGTTCAGAGTCGTTTAAACAATAAACACACTGTTACTTTGATTTACAGACGTAAGGTTGGGTCACGTGCATCACCGATCTCTAACCAATCAAACCGAGTTTAACCGAAGCAGGAAGTGCGCGGCAGTCATCGCTCTCTGCCTGTGCACTCCTGGATAAACGTCTCGGTGAAACTTTGGAGTCGTCGGTGAAATTCCCAGTCCGCGAAAACTTCCTCATGTCTTGAGTTATTTTTTTTTCTCTGGGCTGGACATGGTGAACATTTCTTGATCACAGTATGGGCAAATTCCAGTCCAAACACGGTGAGAAGTTACATCTAGTTAGCTTCTTTTTTTATTATTATTATTATTAGAAATGAAATACTACAAATGTCTTATCACTAGCGCTCACTGTCATCTCATTATTTGGGCAGCTTCGAAGCCCCGGCAGAGTCCAGAAGGTAAGACAGAAAAGACACGTGCTGTCATAGCTAATTTGTACATGAATTTATTTATTTTTTCTTTTCTTTTCTTTCTTTCTTTCTTTCTTTCTTCCTTTCTTTTTTTTTTTTTTAAATATGTGGTTGTTTTTATCCTCTCCAGGACGGAGTTTGGCTTCCAGTGTGCTGAGAGAGTCGCAGAGTAGCCACATATGCAGAAGAAAGCTGACAGAGGTAATGAGTTTTATCTTTGTTCTTATATTAATAACTAATTCGAGAGAAGCTAAACCTATAACTCGCTCACCTACGTTTCCTGTATCACTGCGCTGATCTGGTGCTGACGGTTAGACCTGAAGCTGGTGCAGTAATGCCCGGGTACTCAGCTCCGGAAACCAGCCAGGTTTTACTAGTGATTTCGGTAATAATGTAGGATCTAATGGCCCAAAAAGCAAAGTCATATTTTGTGTAAGCTTCTTTCAACAAATAAATAAATGCACATGAGGCAACATTAAAGCCAAGTACATGTGTTCTTATGGTGCAGGAAAAAACGCACTGCCTCTTTAAACGCCTTTAACACAGCATCCAGGGCTTCATTTCAGTCGTGCCAGCTTGGGGACAAACTGCTCACATCTATCCAGGAGACATAAAAGATGTTTGGAAGGTGGTCGTTTATTTATTTCTCCACCCTTCCTCCTCCATCTCTATAAAGAGACTTCCAAGTCTGTGAAGTTCAGCACACCCACCCCCCTCCAGACAGCGAGGTCTTTATGCCCAACTTCAGTGAGGGGGGAAAAAGAGAAAAAAGGAAAAAAAAAAATCCACATCTGGGACTGCTTTCCTGCCCCAGCCAGACGGGTGAGGGTGTGAGGTGGGGTGTGGCTTGTTTCATTTCATAAATGGCATCAAGTGTAATAATGTTTTTTTTAATTTGTTTGCTTCTCAGACCACCTGATTAAAAACACTGATTGCATTTGTCTTACACACTTTAAGGACAGAAAATTCACTGATCCAGCTTTTCAAGTGTTTGATCTCTTAATATCTTTGGGCATAACTTGTTATTTTAAGGCCAATAAAGTCTGAAGCTCAGGACAATATTTGCACAGGGCTGCTGTAAGAAAAAAAAGTTCTGGAAAGTTCTGCAGTTTGGAAAAAGATGTTGACTCTGCCAAGATGTTTAAAGGGCTGTGGTGGAGGTTCTGCGCTTGGAGCACTTCCTGCGATTACATTTTCCAACCCAATGTAGTTTTATCCCCCATGACACCACTGCTGTGAAGTGGTAATGTCAAAAACATCTCTTTTTCCAAAAGATGACTCCATTCTTTGCATCTTTGTTAGAAAGTCTTCCCCTTAAAATCACATTTAAAACGTTTGCGTGTCACAGTTTTCGCAGAGGTGACAGATTAAAGACGTTTTTTAGAAGCTGGAACAGTTTAAAAAAGATTTTGTAGAGATAACTAAACAATGAAGTCTTTTATGTGCAACGTTCGATGTATCCAGTGAGGGGGGAGGAGGGGAGCGCCGTGGGTAAAAATTTTAAACACGCCGACTCATAGGTGAATGTTTACATACCTGTCAAGTACCACTGAGGCAGGCTCAGGTGTTGACAGGTTGACTGTCTAAAGAACGGACAAACCTGTTTCCTTTCCTATGATCTTCCGTCAAGTATGTGTGCAGAAAAGAGGCTGAATAATTACAGTTTTAAGTAAATGTTGGCTTACTGAGCAGAAAAGGCGTGGCGAGTTTAACTTGAAGTTCAAAGAAAACAATCCTGTCTAGTTTTTGGTTTAGACAGAGAATCCAAACTTCTTTTCAAAAATAAGGTGTTCAAAATGTGGATTTTGTGATTATATTTGGGTTATAGTCCATCCCGCAAGCCAATTATAGACCAAACAATCTGAGTTTGTTCACTTACATTCCTCAAATTGAATTCTACCAAATGTGAAGTTGTTTTAGTTGCTTATAGCTAAATGTTCAAAATACCAGACTGATAGAAGCAGCTCAATGTGAACTATCGGTAAACATGTAAATATGCATTAGTATACAGTCATGTGATAAAGAGGGTTTACACAGTTGTGCAGGAAAACTAAGTCCACACTTACCGCGTCCATAGGAATTATGCAGCAGCCAGGAGCTGCCAATTAAATGCATTTGATTAACTGATCAAGAGAGTTTGAGCACCTCTAAAAACAGATGTTTGGCCGGTTTGCTGGTCTGGAGCATTCAGGTGTGTTTTAACACAATGCCAAGGAGGAAAAATGTCATCAGTGATCTTAAAGAAACTTAATTGTTGATGTCCATTCATGTGGGAGGAGTTAAAAGGCCATTTCCAAACAGTTTAAGTTCATCATTCTACAGCTAATGGAAAACATTTAAGCTAGCTGTCAATCTTCCCAGGAGTGGATGCCGCAGCATATTCTCATGACAGTACAATTAGAAAAAGACTGAAAAAGACTGGCTTGTCTGGAAGTGTTTCCAGAAGAAATGCTCTTCTTTGTAAAAAGGTTGCACAACTTAGGTTTGCAAAGTTGGACCTCAAAAAACTGCAAGACATCTGGAAAAATGTCCTTTGGACGGATGAGACCAAAGTGGAAATGTTTGACCATAAAGCACAGCATCACATTTGGAGAAAACCAAACTCAGCATATCAGCACAAACACCTCACACCAACTTTCAAGCACGGTGGTGGAGGGGGGATGGTTTGGGCTTGTTTTGCAGCCACAGGACTCACCACTTTGCAGTCATCGAGTTAACCCTGAATTCCTCTGAATACCAAATTATTCTAGATTCAAATGTGTGGCCACATGTCTGAGAGGTAAAGCTTGGTCAAAACTACAACGATCCCCAAAACATCAGCAAACAGAAAGGCTGAAAAGAAAAAAATCGAGGTCATGCATAGGACCCTCAATGAACTGAAGCAATGCTGGAAAGAAGAGTTGGCCAAAATTCCTCCATAACAATGTGAGAGACCACTGAAGTGGTTCTACAGGCTATTAGGTGTGGACCTAGTTGCATAGATGTGCATCAGCTACACATTAGTGAAATGAACTCAAGCTGCTCACTGAAATCAGGATGGGCCCATGGACTGACGGGTGATGCCGCTTTCTCTCATCAAAGCTTCACTGCAGGCAGAGCGTGGCAGGATACGCTGGGTGTGTTGCCTGCATCTGAACACGAATGCGGGTGTGCAGACGTGCCCACAAATTATCACTCCCTGTGTTGCTCAACTGCATCTGCTGACGCATCAGTGTGACACGGGTGAGGGACATGTTGGCAGATAAGAGGCTTTTTGTTCCTGTCTTCTTTTGTTTTGCACTGGAAGACTAAAGCAGAAAAAGATTAATTTTCTTAAAGTATTATTTATTCGATATTTTTCAAGTAACAGAAATTGATCCAAGTCCTTTCATCAACCCTGTCTGCTGTAGGATTTGAAAATATGTGTAAATGCATATAAGTATATAATGGATTTAGAGGATTTAAAGTAAGCTGACTTATAACAGTCAACACATATACAGTGTGTCTAAACCTAAACCTGAAGTGCAAAGAGGTCCAGCCAAGACTCAGGATTTAAGTGAGCGTTTTCATCTTCGTGTATTTATGCAAGAAAGCATGCGAAAAGATGTCAGCCATTCAAAAACATGCGGGTAAACCGGCTTTCTTCTTCTTTGCAGTGCCGTATGTTTGTGTGTTTAAACGTGTGCAAAGTAAGCCAAAAGTATTCATACCACTGCTTTGTGTTTTGTGGTTCATAAAAAGGAAAAATGCACAGATTATTCAACATTGCTCACATCTGGAGATCCATCTTCACACTCACGGGACAAGAAAATCACTTAATTGCTTCCTCCCGCTCTTAAATGTGTCCTCTGATAATTTACACTCTTGACTCTTTTCACAGAACTTGTATGTGGAATTGAGGAAAAGCACTTCTGATCATAACTGCGACATGAAGGGTGAGTGGGCGATCACACGTCATCCTGTTTCCCGTCTAAGGTCTTTAAAGGTTTAATTGCTTAGTGAATGTCATCGGGTTTTATCCACTTAAACGAAACAATGGAAATAGTTCACATAAGACTAAGACAGAGCCTTACATGAGTAATCAGAAAGATACAAGATAGACCGCAATAATTTTAAGTACCCATAAACTGTGAGTCTGTTAAAAAAGAGAATTATGATGCATTTTTGTGCTGTTTAGTGGTTCAGCCACCAGAAGAAGAGAAGACGCCCGATAAAGGGACCAATTTTCACTTCAAGTGCAAGAAGGAAACAAAGAGGAGCAGCAGCCGTGCTGCTGTGAGTGAGGTAACTGGTAACCTCGTTATTTGATATT